AGTCGCCGATACGCTATGCTAGATAATCGAGATCGCTACGGAACTAAAAAGTGATTAGGAACGGTATTCGATATTCGGGCGGCGGGAGCCACGCAAATGTAGTCCCGCGGCCCGCGCCACGTGTCCGCCTCCGAAAATCGGAAGGACGCAGGACACAAAACTACCGCCCGCGGTCGGGTCCGTAGATCCCTTGTGACGGACGGTCCAAAAAGGGACGTCACGTCACAATGTATATGGGTATACGGATATATGAAAAAAATAGGCATCGCAGGAAATTGGCATTAGTATTTTTATTTACCTCATTATGCAGTACTGAAGGATTCTAATCATACAACCAAGTTGTGAGTAGTTTTCAATGGCTCCTATAAAATAACGAATCTCTTTGAATGATATTTTGAGAATCGATTCCGTAGTTCAACAGAGATTTATTCTGTATCTTAGCAAGATTTTGTATCATTCAATATGAATTGTTGAAATCGATGGTGCTTATGTCTAGTTTGAATGCTTATTCAACGTGGGTTACGCTATTGTGACGCTATAATTTGATTGGGCACTATCTGCACTCCTTGTAATCGCATTATCGGTTGCATTCGCGGTATTCATTTGATGTATGTCGCTTGTAAAACAAATTGTATATAAGTAAATTCTTGTCTTGTAATAATTGCCTGTGCATAATCGCTCCTGTAATTTCCACTGCGCAAGCATAATAATATAACCCAACAGGTTATAGGCCCAGAGAGATCAGAAAAAGGACTAAAACAATGATACGATCAAGACACAAGTTCAAGGTTAACTTCAATAACTTCAAAAATGGCACAGGACAGTAAAATTCAATATCATGTTATTGAATGGAGGTAATTATGTCTTCTGGAAAATTAAAGTACAGGCAATATTGATTCGTGACGACTTGTGGGACGTCGTAAGAGAGCTTAAGCTGCTCAGCCTGTACGGCCTGACGACGCGTGGACTAAGATTTTGGCGTGTATAACGCTGAGTTTAGAAGACATCCAGTTGATATATTTCGTACATTTTGACAATGCATACAACATATTGCAGGCGCTATCAAGAAAATATGAACGTTTGACATTTGGAAGTAGGTTATATCTCCGGAGAGAACTGTACAGTATTCATTATCGTAATGGATCTATGAGCAGTCACGTCGACGCAATTATGGAAGTAGTCGGTTTGTTACGCAGATCAGGAAGGCTTCCCGAAGACGAGGAAATCGTCACGGTTTTATTGGTGAGTTTATCAGATTCATACTCAAGATTTATGACAGTGTTTGAGGGAAGAAACGAGGCAGATTTGACGATTGAATACGTAACCGGAGAGATATTGAACGAGTATCAGAGGCATAGAAAGCGGTGAGTCAAACAATAAAAATTTTGAAGTGGTACTTCAGTCGGCAGGTGCGAATACTAAGAATAAAGATCATATTATTTTATAACTGCCCATCCTGCGTAGCGAACCACGTAGGCGCTACTGGATTTTTCCATCACTCTTGGGGCGACCGACTTTTGCGAATATATTGGATAGTAATGTTGTGTTTGTCCGTCCGGGCCAGGTAGCACGTGGACGGTTGCTTCGGTGGCCGCTGCACTCACATTAACTGTTACGCGATGTGGTAATAGATATTTTATTATTTTAATTGATGATTATTCACGTTTTACAGTGATATGCCTACTGAAAACAATCCCGAGCATCATAAAGGAATCGCTGCTATGTCAGTAAGATTTGGCTATTGGTAGGAAGCCAAAAGCTTTACGAACGGATAATAACAAGGAGTATGTCACATCCGAGCTAATAAATTTCTTGAAGAAAAAAGGAATTCAGCATCAACTTACTGTAACAAAACGGTGTTACTGAGCAGAAAAATGGGACGCTGACGGAATCAGTAAAGTGCATGCTATTGGATGTAGGTCTGGATAATCTCTTTTGGAGAGAGACAATATTGACCGCAATGCATCTACAAAATTGGATGATAAGTTGTAGCATCGATAAAACGTCTGTCGAGTTATTTACCGGAGAAAAACAAGATATTAGTCATATTCAAATATTTAATTTGGAGATTTCACTTGTTTCTAAACAAAGACGTAGGAAATGGAATGACAAGGCTGAAGAGGGCGTATTTATTAATTATAATGGAAATACCAAAGATTATCGAATTTTGAATCACACACACAAATCAGGTTTGGATTAGCCAGTATGTAAGGATGATAGAGTACAATGCTCACAAGTTGAATTTGTTTCACACATCAAAGGAAAAAGAGGCAAACAACAACAAAAAAACATCAAGAACTACTGAGTACGAGACACCAGCAAAAGAAGAGGAAACTGTGGAAGTCTACGAGGATGATTCAGGAAAAGAATCAGAGAGTTATTTTTTGGATGGGGAGAAGTACGTAACGCTAAAAGCTACACCGGAAAAATCACAAAGATGGATATCGCGGCAAACAAATAATTACCTTCTCCGAGATTGACGTACAAAGTACAAACGAATATTAAAAAATCAGAATCTTGGGATAAGATGTTAAAGCTATCAATACAAGAGCAAGAACAGTGGATTTCAGCAGTTAAAGAAGAAATAAAATTTTTCAATGAGAACAAATTTTAGAAGCTCATGAATCTTTCACTAGGGAAGAAAGCAATCACATGTAAATGGATTTTTAAAATCAAATTGGACCTAGAGATTACACCTAGAGCTTATGGTCTGCCAAAGATTTATAAGCCAGACAATCCTTTTAGAATTATAGTATTTTCTATAAATAGTCCTTTATATTTTTTCACTCATTTTTTGCATAATATCATTACAGATAATATTCCGAAGGCACCTCGTCACGTAGCTAACAGCTTCCATTTGATTAAAAATCTAAATGGATTTTGTTTAGATTCTAGTTTTAAGCTAGCTTCTTTTGATGTTGTTTCTCTTTTTACAAATGTTCCAATAGGTTTGGCTATTGAGAGCATTTCAAAAAGATGGGACTATATATCTAAAAATATTCTTACACTTAAAAATGATTTTTTAAGGGGGTTTCGTTTGGTTTTAGATTCCACCTTTTTTTTCTTTCAATAACATTCTGTACAAACGCGTTTTTGGCACTTCAATGGGCTCTCGTTTGTCTCCTACAATATCAAATATTATTTTACAAGATTTTAAGGAGATCGCTGTCATTTGAAAACGTGACAGTGTCTAGAATACCGCACAGTAGAAGAATGGTTCCGTCAATCTTAATATGTAAGGACAGTCATAATTTTTATCTCAATTTTAAAGTTTTTATACTTATGACTTAAAAATTTTTTTTAGTATTTAAATTATATAATTTTTTTAAAAAAGGATTTACCGTTTTTGGTATACCAACTTTTTGACTGGATTCAACATACTTTTCTTTGTTATAAATTAAATTTTTAACACGTTTTATTTGCACAATTTTTCACTTTTTTAAACTATTTATTCAGTATTTATACTATTTATATAATTGACAAATCCTAACTTCAATCTAATTTTTCCTATAATCTCTTGTTCCCTAGAGACCACCACATCAAAAAAATTTTTTGCAAATATATGCGTTAAAAAATCATGGATTACCAAACATATCTGTAAGGCGATATTAGAAGAGGGAATGACTAAACTAATCCTCCACGTCCATCGATAAGATCTTGATCGTCTCTACCAATGCGAATATTATTTAAAATAAGATACAAATAAGATGTAAGTTATAGCGTGTATTTTTCGCATAATGTGTTGTTGTTAACCTCTCTGAAGATGACCACATATTTAGGATCGAAATGTCAGAGGTTATTATATTGCATTTTATCGATCTATTCATAATTTGTATATTGAGATTATAATTACTTCAGCAAAAATCACCCTGCGTTTGGCTCTTTAATGCTTCTTTTTAATATTTGAATTATTTAATTATAACATTTTAATTTTTTTTTAGTTATATATTCAATTTTAGTCATTTTTTAAATTTGAATCTAGCTTCTACAATGTTTCAAATTGCAAAATTTAACAATGACATTATTTGCCTTTGTCTCCTGTTTAAATCTGGGAAGACCGTACGTTCAATCTACTTCACGATACGTTTTGAAGATTTGCGCCTGAATATTATGCTTTAGATGGTATTTTTAACACTGTACTTTTATATTTTACCGTTTTAATTTATTTGTATTAATTTTAACATTGAGAATGACCTAATACAGGTTAAAACGTTTGTTTTGTTTTAATTACTTGATGTAATTTTATTGGAGCATTAAATACCTAGCTCAGGCTCATAGCCCTTATTTAATTTATTGATTTGTCAATTTAATATATTATTTCAGCATGACTTTAAGTTATGACTGCATTCTTAAAGAGAGAATACCGGTAATAATCAGCGCGTAGTTTATGATAGATAAAATTTAAAAATTAAAATTATTGGGTAACTAATATCTAAGCTAGCCTAGGCCAAATTTAGTTTCTTCCCTTATTATTAGTACACATACAATATATTGGCTTCATTTGAAATGACAAATATTAAATAATTTTAAATACCTATTTTTAATTTGTAATAACTGTTGAAGAGTTTTTGTTTTAGCGTTACTTATTGTTACTTTGTAATATATCTTCTGTATGTTCTGTTCTTACTTGAGATAGCAGCACACATTTTTTTAGTATTTACCTCTGTATCTTTGAATATATATTTTTAGATTCTCTTAATGATCGATGTGTGCTAGACAGTTATATATATTCGAGACTGAATAAAGTTATTTAACTAAAATTAAATATTATGATTCAAATTAAATATTCTGGTTATGGGCTCAGTACACTGAGTGTAGTTGCTTGGAAAAGTAAATAACTGTTTCGATACTCGTATGATAACCTTAAAAATAGACGTAAAAGTAATTGTGGAAAAGCTCGACGGACAAAGCAATTGGCCACGATGGAAAAAGCAGATCGAGCTATTGCTAAAACATCACGACGTGTTTGATGTTACAATTGGCATCAAGATCTCACCTGAGCGAGCTAATCTATCTCAAGAGGATCGCGAAAAAGAACTGGGTAAAAGCCAACAACTGGGCTCAAGTAATTCTCGTTACAAATGTGAATGACGCAAACGTAGAGATGACTGCTGCGTGTAAGACTGCAGCAGAAATATGGATTCAACTATTATCAGTTTAGGAACAGAGCTCGGGTCAGCGATTGGACAGGCTGTTCGAGTCATTCTTTTCAGCGGAGAAGAAATCTTCAGAAGATATAGCAAATTATGTATCACGTTCGAAAAGAATTTTTAATGAAATAAATGATAAATTGCAAAGATTAGCACAAATGTAATTACCGGAATTATTGCTATTGACTCGAGTAATGAGTACATTGCCTAGTGAATACTTTGAATTTAAAAACGTCTGGGAAAGTATTCTTATGCAAGTCAGGTCAGTGAATCTTCTTGAGCGTCTAAGGTTAATCGAAATCTGCGGTTGTCAGGGACTTCAAAGGATGAAAAAACTGGTGCGACATTCTCTGTAAAATCTAAGAAGAAAGAAGCTGAAAGAAAACAGACAAAGATCATCCATTGCTTTATTTGCGACAAGGAGGATCACTGAGTTAACAAATATCCAAAAAAGCAACATACAAAAATGTCACCAAAAAGGGACCATGCAAATAGTACATTGTTGTGTTACTTAGCGTGCAGTAACATATAAAATAATCAATAGATTGCCGATTCAGGTGCCTTTCATCATATGACGACACACTATAAAAACTTTCATGAGTGACAAAGGAACAGAATGTAAAAAAGATTTTGAACAAGAGGGGCATCACAATAAGGACAACAATACATCTGAGCAAAATGGAGGCGCAGATAGGGAAATGCGTACCTTAGTGGAAAGTGCGTGCGCAATGTTGCAAGCAGGTAACTTGCCAACAAGTCTGTGGGCAGAAGCAGTAAATACTGCGTGTTACGTTATCAATCGTACGTGTTCAACACCAGTAACGAGAAAAGCACCTATGGAATTATTAAGCGATTAGGCAGGCCTTGATCACAAAGAAAGCTCCCAACTACTTCCGGGTCATTTCGGAGGACTACCTCTCCAACCGGTGGATCTATTTTGCGGACAACAGGGTTCATATAAATAGAGCGCCCATGACCTGCGGAGTCCCACAGGGCTTCGCATATGGGCCGGAAGTGTAGATTTATACGTGTGACAAGGTTTTGCAGACTGAACTTCCAGACGAGGTCTACACTTTATGTTACGCAGACGACACTCTGATCGTGGCGCTGGGGGACATCCTGGATCTGGCGCCAAAGCGGAGCTTAGAGTGGCGTTCGTGATCAGACGTATTGAGAACCTGGAACTGAAAATCTCGCCACAGAAAACTGAGGCGTGCGCTTTCAATTGTGCGCACAGATTTGTCAGGGAAAGGGTTGTCTCGGTAAGGGATACCTTGGTGCCTCTGAATCTTAACATGAAGTACCTCGATCTGATTCTTACAAGGGAAACACCAGACATGGTCCCCTCCGATTTGGTTAAATTTTATACATATAATAGTTTACCTCTCCCAC